GGGGGAGGGGGGTTATTTGATTGACACATTTGGATACATTCGGACTGTAATAATGGGATGATTTTGTTTCTGTTCTTATTTTTAGTTTATTTATCTTTATTAGTTATTGTTCATTAGCTTCTTTAATTTTTCTCTTTAATTTTTGTTTTGTTAGTAGCTTCTTTTTATGTTAGTAGCTTATTTTTATGTTTTTTGTAGTGGTATGGATAATAAGCCTTTCATTTTTTTAATGCCACAGTTCTTTTCAAAGGTAGTTTTGTGTGAACCGGGTGACTCGTCCTGAGGATGGATGGCGTGACAACCTTTTTAAGGGAATGAGTCTGTTTTTTGTGTTCAGGTAATAATAATAGTAATAGTAAGGAATAAAAGGCCTAATCAAGTCATTCTAAAAAAAGAGTTATTCATGCTTCATTTGGTGCCAACACACTTAACTATGTGCTTATGGTTTGAAACAAGGTTTTTGAAAGAAAAATAGCTCTAGTTAGTGACTTTGAGACTCTTGAATTGACTTTGGTAATCATCGAGTGATTTATTGGACCATAGTAATCTTAAACGTGATTGTGGTTGTTGTAGGCTCTCGACTCTATCTTCTTTTACGGTCTAGTTACTGTGGGGTGAGGTGATTCGTTGCTAGTCCAAGTACCCGTGCGAATGGTCTAGAACTTGCCCCGAATGTACTTCAAGGCGAAATCCTAAGTTTGCTTGGTTTGGGATATGATTGTAGGCTTTTCTTGGTCCGTTTGAGCTTTCTATTTCCAACCAATGTTGTTATCCCTAGTTAATCCCTTTTGAGCCTCTAGCCTTTCTCATTTGATAACCATGATATAAACATTTACCCGTTATGTCGTGATCCTCTCTTGGCACCCGGACCATCCTTAACACTCTTGTGAAATAAGTGGCTTAAGGCATAAATTTAGGGAAGAGTTGAGAAATTTGAAAGAGGTATCAAGACACCAAAAAGAGAAAAGAAATGATCTCTATGAAAAGAGAAGGCAAGAAAAGAGAAAGAACAAAAAGAAAATGCAAAAAAGAGAATTAAAGGAAGGGTTGGTGGAATCAAAAGGAGGTAATTATCCCTAACATGAGCATAAAGGGAGAAAAAGAATGAAATAAACAAGAAAGAGTGATGTCAAGTCTCTCTAACCCCCAAGAAAGAGAATGCCTCTAAGAATTTGTAAATGTGAGCCAAGAAATGAAAATATGGAGTGCTTAAAGAAAGGTGTAACCACTTACGCATATGGTATCCTATCCCAATCTAATAGCCTTCATTACAACTCGAAAGAAGTCCTACTTGATTTTGAACCCAGTGAGCTTACATTAGTGGTGATCTATATGAGGGGCAAACCTATGGTACTTGAAGTCGTACTTGTGATATTATTTTGTGAGAGAAGAGTGAACCTTTCATTGATCTAAAGATTGAGTGCTAACTTTTGAAGTGATCTTGGTAAATGGAAGGTAGAAGAGGAAGAGTTTGGAATCCACCATGATCTAAATGATAGAACAAGAGTCTTTGATGAGTAAAGTCAATTCTTGAAGCTCAAATGTCACATTAAAACTATATGTGCATGATATTTGAATTGTCACCTTGTTGATAATGCATGAGTATTGTGAATAATTGTTGGTCCCAATTGAGTATGAACGGCTTACCATTAACTCTCTGAAATGACCTTTCACTCTGAGGAGGTAGGAACTAATCTATTTGCTTGAGGACAAATAAAGACTTAAGTTTGGGGGAGTTAATAAGTGTGAATTTGAACCACTTATTAGTACCTTCTTGCTTTAGGTTTAGTCCAAAAGTATTGATTTATATTCTCAAAACTAATAAAAGTGTGCATATTGTGAAATGTTGGAGATTTAGACTTTAATGAAGAAATCTAACTCAAAAAGGAATATTCCGGCTCATAAGGCAAGAAAGGCCGCAACAGACCAAAAGTGTGGTCCGTTGAAGTATTTCTGCGGCTGCAGAAGAAAGCGATGAAGCTCAGAAGTTGATTGAAGAGAAGTGCGGACCGCACACAATTTGTGCGGCCGCAAAACATGGTCGCACTGACAAGAATTCAAAAAGTTCAGAGAGTGTGCATAACGACCAAGATAGAAGAAGCCTTACCAGAAGTACGGACCACATACGGAATTGTGCGGCCGCAGAAGCTGAAGTGCATCCGCAAATCAAATTGTACGACTACAGAATCCCTCTACCTGCAGACTCGAGCGAAGTGCGGACCGTACATGGAATTGTGTGACCGCAGAACCTCCCGAAGGTCATTTTTGTCAGCGAATTTAGGGCCACTATAAATAGACGGGAATCACTTTTTAGGTCAAGTTTGGTAGTTTTTTGAGCTGTAGTCGTTGTAGTTTACCACTTTTGGTAATTTGTGATCAATTTGGGTTAAAAATACAATAGTTTATCATTTTAATTTCATATTATGGCTTTAGTTAGTATTTCATCTTTATTTTCTGCCATTTCTACTATGAGTAGCTAGATATTTACTAGGGTTGTAACCCAACCCTAGTGTGTAAACCTTATGTGTAATTAATCTAATGCTTGTTTATGATTGAGTATTTGTTATTTAGCCTTGTTCATGCTTTAATTTTAGAATTAATGGTTAAAAATATTGATTCATGCCTTTTGACTTAGTCTTTATTTGAGAAAGAGGGACTTAGTCTAGGAAAACTTGGCTAACAAGAAATTGGGTTATTTAAGGTTTTGACTAGCCTAATTAAAGGGTTTGAACTAGAGATAGGGAAAATTCAACTTGAGCTCATATCAACTATTTGGTTTGATAACCATTTAGGCTTGAAAAGGCCAAATTGGGAAAAATCACTCTATGATCGAGACGTATTGAGTAGGTAATTTAGAGTTGAGAGCTAAAATACACCCCAATCACTAAAATAAGTATTAATGTAATTAACTCATTTGGCTAAAACCTAGGCGAATGTTACATCCCTAAGCCTTTTACCTATTTGAAAATAACCAAAAATAATTAATCAATTTTTAATTTCATTTCTCTAGTTAATCATTGATAGTATAGTTTATAGAAGTAATTTACAAAACCATCTTGTTTGGAAACGTATTTAAGTTATTTCTTCTACACGCATCAAGTGTACACTCTAACACTCATATTTCGCTCCCACAGGAAATCGATCCCGACTCATAGTTGGGTACTATTCTTCCAACGTCCTCTTTCACTCATTGTTGAGTGTGGATTGGGAGTGGATCATGGACCTCACCAAATAAATTTATCTTATTCCATTAAGAGTTAAGTAGGTCTCATCCTCCAATTCTAGAGATTATAACCATATTTGATTTGGAACAGTTGTTCTAATATTACCACCCAAATTATTTTCTAATTTCATTCATTTTTTCCTTCTCCATAATCTATTTTCTTGCACTTTTTTTATCCTTTTCTTTATTTTTTCTCCCTTTTTATATAATATTTTTTTTTGATATAGTAAAATTATTTAATTATTTTTAAAATTTTTATATAACTGATAGAGTATATCTTTTCTTTCTCTGTTTCACATTTTTCTTTTTCTCCATATCAATTATCAAAAAAATAACTTATATAGTATATCTTATTTCTCTTTTTCTTTTTTATCTTTCATTTTTTTCTTTTTTTAAAATACGTGTATTACTATA